CCTGTCGATCAACGTTTACGTTTTGTATATAACTTTCCTAACATAGAAAAATATGCATTGTATATTCCATTTAAACTATAAAAACACTGTGAAACGCCTACAGACAATCCTAAAGTTTTAGCGTATCCAATTACAGACAGGCGACTTTCATCGTCTGCTTACCTTATTTGCAAAGTTGCAGAGTCCTGCTGATTGTCTGAGATGTTTGAAAGCGTCTGAATTCTTCCTCAGCTTCGTTATCTCTAGACGTCGGGTCACCATTTTGTTAGGGATTTGGAGGGATAACTGGTCCGCTTTTCAAATCTCCGCGCGTTCCTATGAAGCTGGTTATAATACAGGAAGGAATCCATAGCTACAAAGTAACCGTTAACAATAATCTACTTTAATGGCAATATGACAATGCAATACAATCATTACAATACAACATGATATATTACAGTTATATTGTAATGCTTAAGGAGTAATACCGGCTTACTCCTGCCCTGGTTCGCATACTGCAGAGCTACTTTCACCCGAGGGCAGCATGTGAAGAAGAGGCCGAATGCCAGGGATCCACCGGATATATACCAGAGTAAGAAGGAGGGGTTTGGTGTTAGGTCAGCTGGTCATCTTTTCAGGTCATCTCATTGGGAGACGCAACGCAGCAGGAAACCAAACAGGCTCACTTTCCAACAAAAGGTCTCAAGGCCTGCATACCCACACCTCCCCCACAGAGCAATAAAACCCTATTTACTCCAACCAGCCCAGAATGTTTATAGCCATTTGTAGTCCTTACATTTATGAAAGGATAAAACAGAGAAATCAATATAAAACACAAACACAGGTATTGTTTGAACAGTATTCACTTAACTGCTACTGTTGATAACCACCAGAGAAACCCAAGGGACCTCTCTTAATATCACAACCACTGTAGCTCGTTCTAAGTTGAATGCAAATCAGGACATGCTCTCACCTTCCCCCATCTTCCTTTGTCCTCAAAAACACATGTCAACAGGCCCCATATCCAGCTCACAGTTTTACCCAAATTATTCTCATTTTAAGCTTATCCATAGTTTGCTAACATGAATAAATACAAATATAACTCTACAATATCTGTAGACTTGGTATGTCTTAAATGTCCGGTTAGGATGTATTAGAACGAAATCTAAAATGAAAATTGTAAACAAGCAATCAGTATGTAAAAAAAAACACCTGTATGTAAATTGTAAATAAGCCATCTGTATGTCAAATATGTCTTATATGTCTTAAATGACATGATGAATTGGAAATGGGGGACCCTGATGTAAACAAGACGAAAGTCTTTCTCTGGTCTGCATCCCCTTAACAATTGTATGTTTTGAGCTGTACTGTACTGTACCCAATATACAAGCTGTTAATAAACTTTTCAATCAATCAATCAATCAATCAATGATTATTTTTGTATCTATTCCAATTCAAAGTCCATCTGTCTCATCTGCAATGCGAGCGTGGCTTTATCGAAGAAGGGTAATTTAGGAGCGGCATTTCAAAACAGTGCACAAACGCTACGAGACGGAATTCCCTCCTGATTCTGCCCTACGCTCCCAAAAGGGGAGGGGCCTGGAAGGACAGCTAAATGCACAGCAGTCCATTTTCACCAGGCACAACAACAAGAGCAAGGCTGCTACCAGAGCATCTTATCGTGTCAGTCACGTTCTTGCGAAACACATGAAGTCTTTCAAAGACGGCGAAGTTGTGAAAGAAGCATTCCTGGAGGCTGCCGACGCGCTTTTTGGGGGCAGTAAAAATAACAGAAGCATTTCAACAGGTTTTTGATATAATAAAAACTCAAGTTAGATACCGTTATTAATCAGCTGTAAGTTTTAGTTTGTTTGAACTTATTCATTATAATTATTGTACAAAATGGTATAAGAATGCAAACTTAAATTGATTATAGTCTATTATCAATTCAGGTTAAGAAACTAGTGTTGCTTGCATCCTATTTTAAAGGCATTTATTTTTATAATCTACTAAAATGCAACAAAAAAAGGGTTTGATTCTATTAATTTTGTCTTTTTTATTGTACTGTTGCAGCAGATTCCTGAGTAGCTTCAGATCTGAGTTGTCTTATTAGTAAGCCTCATTTATACTTTTGTAGCAACACTACTTTTATATAATGGCAAAGAAAGGGTTCAGAGTCTTTTCTTTTTTCCCTGAGTCATATGTGGCAGCACTGTTCAATGTTTCTTGAAAACATTACCCACTGTAGTATGTGACGTGTGAATAAACTCCAACTCTGTATCAACAACACTGTTGTGTAACTTCAGTTAAATACTTGTATGTGTGTAGATTAGAAAGAGGTAAGATAAAGGATCTGCAGTATTTTATGAAGTATTAATCGTACAAAGGTCAGTTTTATACAAGTAGAAGTGTGTATTTACCTGGTAGGAGGCTGTCAGTAATGGCTACGCCTCTCTATTTGGACTGGTAGATCTCAGCAGACTGGCAACTTTAAAAGTAGCTCTCTCGGTTCAAAAAAGGTTGGGCACCCCTGGTCTAGAGGCAAGAGCTTCGGAGCTAAGAGGTGGCGTCGCTTACGTCTCTCTTACGTCGAGGCGTGCAGGAAACTAAACCCACCTCCCCTGAACATGGGTCGACTGTCATGCCTGCCTACAAGCAGTAGTGCTTATAAACACACTTTATAAAGTCAGGCAACACTAACCAGGCTTCGTGTGATTCTGTTTATTTGTACCTTACTTTGACCATCCGTTCACTGTTATTGATCATTGTGGAGAGGCAGACGTTTTGTTTTGTATTATAGCTCGGATGGAATCAATACATGGGCTGCACAGGTTGTCGTGTCCGACTATCACAAGTAGAATCATAATACAAATACGCCAGTAAAATGTGCCTGTAGAAAACGGTTTATGCCACAATAGGATAGCAATAGCAAGTAGTCAGTTTAGCTTCGGTTGCTATGCTAACATCACCCATTTTATACCAGAGAAACTTTCATAACAGCGTTGTGATACCAAACAGCGTCAATTCAGACTGACACACATTCACTTAGGCTAAGGGGAACTGGGGATATGTATCAGCTGCTTGTGTGAGTCGGACAGTGAATACTTTAGAGCGGCCGCTGCAATGTGAACTAACCGGGAGCTAACGGAGGAGAATAAACTCCCGTAGAAGAGCAGCCAACACTGCCGCGGTCGGTAAATGCTGCAGAAACACATTAATAAACAATTAACCACGGCACTCTGGAGCAAAGTATAAGGTTGGAGAAGTCGTTATTCAATTTATTCTGGCTTCGTGTGATTAAAAGCAACACGATCATCGACCCGACGCAGTTCCCCGTTGTTGTGAGCGCCGTAATGCCGTTGGGGAGCAAATCAGCGATGTAAACGGTGACGTCATGACGCAGCAGCGGCAGCACCAGTCGGGTGCTGGGCGGTGTGAACAGAGCGGGAGCAGAAAAGGGAAACCGGAGCTGAACCAGAAAAGCTCTAGCTTGGAGCTAGAAAGGGAAAAGCGCTGGTGTGAATGCCGCATCTGAGTGTTTAGAACGGTTTTGTCACAAATTATTCAAAAGATTATTTCCGCGGCACACCTTCATATGATCATTATAGTTATACAAACAATAAGAGAATAAATGAAAAACAGGTATGAAAGTAAATATATATGGCAGTAAAACAAGAATACAATTTAAAAGGGGAGTGATTTGTAAAATATCCATAAAGAAAAAGAAAATCTGTTTACAGTTCTGTTTCATATGGGTGCTGAGAGAGGTATCCATACATAGATCTCTTCATGTTGCTCTCAAAGTGCACCAAATTGATGCTTTCATCTTCAATATTTAAAAACAAATCTTCCCGGGGGAGCATCCCCCCGGACCCCCCTAGAGGAGGTGAGGACCTAGAGGAGGTGAGGACCCCCTAGAGGAGGTGAGGTCCGCCGTCCACTTTACCCCTGCCTATATGCCGTGAGCTGATTATGGAGCCTTCATTGTAACAGTAATTCAGATGCAATTAGCCTATATAAAAGGCTTCAAATTGGAAGCACTAGGCTTGTTTGAGACAAGCGAGACCTGCGCAGACCTGCGCAATTTCGATCAACGTCTTGCTCATGCGTTGCATGATGGTTAGTCATTTTGTCCGACTTGCTCTGGAGGCCCGCCTACATGAGACGTTGAAATCTCGCGGGACAAAGACGCCCGCAGCCTTGAGAGCGAGGTGCGGCGAGGCGGCGCAGCTGCGGAAGCGAAATGCTTGATGGGAAACGACTCGCTGGTATCTCGAGCTGAGCGCTCATTGGTGGTTTTTACCACGTGCTGCTGATGAAACTCTCCAATTGGCTCGGCAAAAGTTTGTTGTTGTTTTGTGTAAGTTTTACGTCGCCACATCCATTCGCATTTTTTATCATTGTTCCACAATATTTATCATCATTAAATTAATATCCATATATTTTATACTATACTTGCACTGCTTACCGTTTTCATACTTTATATATCTTAGCATATTCATACACACTGTTCATACTGCTCTCAGGCTGCTGTGTATATCTAGTGTATTCATACCCCTCACTATTTATTCATCATTCAATTCATTCTATATTTTATTCTGTAGATTGTGTACATTACTTTTCACTTTACTGCTTGTTGCACCTGGTTAGAAGCTAAACTGCATTTCGTTGTCTCAGTACCTGTAATATGTGCAATAACAATAAAGTTGAATCTAATCTGGAGCAGGAACAAATGTATTTACTTAGTACATATCTGACATTAACGATTAAACACATGTGTGCATTCTGAAGAAGAAGAAGAAGAAGAAGAAGAAGAAGAAGAAGAAGAAGAAGAAGAAGAAGAAGAAGAAGAAGAAGAAGAAGAAGAAGAAGAAGAAGAAGAAGAAGAAGAAGAAGAAGAAGAAGAAGAAGAAGAACGGCTACTCTCGTCTACTTTCGTCTACTTTCGAGGCGAGCCGCAACGCGTCTCAAACAAGCCTACTGTCTGGGCCGTCTTTTTCACTCAATTCTGCAATAGGTAGGCTAGATCTCGCCTTTCACCTAGGCCGAGGTCGGTGATCTTGGGCTTAAAAAGGTTGGTGACCACTGCTCTAGAGTTATAACTGGTGTGACTATAGCACATTATATATTATTATGTAAAGTAGAAACATTTGCCCAGTATTTTTAAATTGTATATTATATTCTAGATGCCTTGTGCTTTACTTAAAGGTGGGGTAATTGACTTCAGAAACACTTTTTGTTATATTCCATGGAATGCTCTTAACATCCCAGTAATTAATATATTAAATGCTTTGAGAATAAATCATGGAACGAATACATTAAAAAAATGCAGCTATGGAAGCCGTGGCGCTGTAAAAAGCATGACCAATTATTTTAGCCGGCGGCTAAAATAACTGGATGGCCTACCTGCCTGTCAGCCTTCCATCTCGTGCAAAAACTTATCTCGTGCCCTCATTGGTCATGTGCGCGTTCGTGTGTGTTGGAGGAGGGGCTCTGTAAGGAAGTCTGAAGGAAGGGGCAGATTTTATTTCGGCTGCCTACTTTCAAATTCTAGCGCACTCGAGCTGGTAGTTTCTCCATTCTTACATACCCTACCTTTAATGGGCATAATTCAGCCTGACATTTGTGATATCTTTGGAAACTTTCAGATTTCACTACAATTTAAATCAAAGTTTGCCGTCTTCAAATGTGTTTGTAATGACGCCAATGTATCAATCAAACATTTGAAGATGGCACATATAGCTCTCAGAACTTTAATAGGCCTTTCTCTGTACTTTTTAGCAATAACAATTATTTTGAGATGCATTTTTATTTTTAAACTTGAAATGAGCTTACTTCTTACACATGTCTGTTCCCCTTGTCAAACCTCCTTCTGTTGATATTCATGATCAGTTTCTAACTCCAATAAGTGCACTTTGAACTTAGATATGAGGTCAGCCTGAGTATATTCATTACCATAACAGAGAGGCTCTCTGTGTTAAAAACTATAATCACTTTGCCGTGACTTGCAGAATCTTCTGAAAACCATTAACACAGTGTTTGATAACGTCCTCGAGTTCCCTCCCCACACACTCTGTGTTAGCAGATTAACTACCCACCGATTAATTAACACAATTACCTCTGTGTGTGCCAATCGGTGTCTTATCAACCTTTGTCAGGCCTTCAACTGTAAATTAATTAATATCCCCTCTCTTGTCATTTCTTAATTACCTAAGTTCCAGCAGGAATGATGGGAAAGGCCTGTGTCAGCGGCTCTGTTTTGTGCTCATGCTTATAATGACTTTGCTGTGAGCTCATTGGTTCATTAGACAGGATATGAAAACATGCTGATGAGAGGTGATCAGGAGATGACATGATGTATAAAGAGGCTCTTCAGACGAGGGGTTAAATTGAAGCAGCACTCCTTAATCTTTCTGTTTTTCCTGCTGAAGGTGACACTGGACTTTGTGTAGAGCTGGATGTTCTGATAAATAACTCTCAGTTTATCAAATAACACCCTAAACTTTGATCTCAGCCTTATTTGAGTGTTTAAAAAAGATGCAATTGACATTAAATCATTAAAGAGACAGCAGCAATTCAAATAAGCTTTTTATTATTCATCAGCTTTGAGGGTGGATCAAACTGCTCCGGTCTGCTTGATGTTAACTTGCTGTTCACTGTCAACAAAAACACCCAACACGAGTTCATGAACAGCAATAAAATGTACTATTTATACAGAATATATTACATTTTACATTTCAATCATTTCATTAAGTCTTCATGCAAACTTTTTTAATTGACTTTAACATAAAACATTCCAAAACAATCTCATAATACCGACCAGCTGTTCAGTACCTTTAAGGCAACAAGACCTTAAAGTGCTCAGAATTTGTGTAATGTGATCTGCTGGATTTATTTGCATTTAAAATCAGGTTAGGGATAAAGCATATTAAGACAAAAGGGTTACACTTTTGATGGCAGAACCTCTAAAATGCTCACTCAATTTCTTATCTGGGAAAAAAAACTGTCACTTGCACAAATAAACCTATGAATAGTCTATGAAATCCTTCTATACATTCTATAGATGTTTCATTAACCCGTCAACTATCGATTTTTTGTTTGTTTTATATACCCCCTGTCTTACCTGCTGAGGCTTGGCACAGCAATGGAAGCGCACGTCATTGAGAGTGGAGTCATCCAGGCCATACTGGTACTTCTCCATCTTGGTCTCGATGCCACAGATTCCTCCGTCACCACACTCCTCGCTCCAGGAGCCGTACACTCCCCAGTCCAGGCCCATGCCCTCCAGCAGAGGGTTGCTGCTGCAGCGGAACTTGATGTTGTTGATAGCCGTGTCGTCACCAAACAGACCCTGATGGGGCTGCACGCGGATCTGGAAAGATGTGAGCATGCCCTTGGGGCAGTACTGGGGAGGTGACCAGTCACCAAAGCTGGGCAGGAGAGGAGAAATACAAGAGAAGGATCAGGGGAACAAATCAGGAAGAGATCCAATTTGAAGACTGGAAACTCTGGAAGAGATTGGATACATTTACAAACGTGGTTTTGGAATCCTGGAAAAAAAAAAACGCTTTTTATTTCCACTGTGAACATGATGGGTAACTGCCAGCTGCAGATGACTGTATTTATTACATTTCTATTTCTATTTAAACTTTGTAATCCTACTTTACCCCAGTCATTGATCCTTATATTGGTTTTTTCTTTTTTCTTGGTATGTTAGAAGAATATAACAGTTTGCTGGATTATGTATAATTAAGGTGGTGATTTATTTTTCCTTTGTAAATATCTTTGTAATGTGTTTTAATGTGAGACATCTAGACCAAAATCTATAAACTAACAATGTATTAACACAACTGCAGATTTGATTTAACCTTAAACTCCTCATTAATCACATGTATGATTGCTGCCGAACCATGAACATTTCTAGTTACTCACTAGCCAGTATGGGATTCGATAGAGTACACGAAGCTTCGGTTCTCGTCTTGGGCGCAGATGAGGCGGATCCCATTCAGAGCGGTGTCATCCGCAACGTACTGATTAGACTCCACCTGAGGAAACAGAAACAGTTCCCAGAACATCTCTTGATAAGCCTGCTTGTTTAGGTGAAACAGCTGCCAGATCTGGTGAAAAACTTCATGTCAGGTAAAGGTGTAGATTATTTGGTAGTCTATGTAGAGACGTGTGGGTTAGTATCTGTTTACAGTGCAACTTAGCCACTTAGAATTGTTTCTGTACACAGGTTCACAGACATAAACAATGAAATAATTGTTATAGATGTTTCATCAGCTCTGTTATTATTAATGCGTTTTCTATTTTTGAAACATCAGATATTTTTTCCCTTAAAGGATAGGTTCACATTAAGTATTAACCTTAAATCTATTTGTAGATGTCCATTGGTATTTTTATGCTGTGTTTATCATCTTGTTCTTGCTGTGAAGGGATCTTTTCTTAATGTAACGCCAATAAGAGATAGGCAGACAACATCCATTGTCCTTTTGTCCTTTTAGATGTTCTCTCTTTGACCTCAGCCTGTTGTGTCCCTCAGTTTCTTTCTTTGACTTTCTACTGTTGGTTAAATGCAGTAAAATATGAGTCCTATCAGAGTGTCTTTACCCTGAGACTGAAGCCAACAGCAAAGAACTTTTCAGGACACATCTCGGACCAGGTCCAGTATCCAAATCTCTCTCCGTTGGGCACCGTGAGCAGGGACCTGTACTGTCTGTCGGTGAAGGCCATGCCAGCTCGCTGCAGGAAGTTCTTCTCCTCACAAAACCCACTGGACAACACAGCCAGCATGGCCACGATGGTGGAAAGACTTGCCATATTGACAGCAATGATTCAGTGTTTCAGTCTGAAATGCCAACTAACAAGTACCGAGGGGTCGGGCTCAAAGCTCTTATAGCTTCCCAGTGATTTCTAAAATAGACCACTCGTATCAGGTTGAATCATTTACAGGGTGGCGTGGGATTGAACAGCTGGTGTTGGAGAAAGAAGTTTAGTTCAACGAGGCTCTCTGCTGGGCTTCAAGGAATTCATTCACCTCTTACATTTCGACAAGCAGTGAATTCAATAGGAATTTGACATTAAAACGCTACCTTTACAAAAGTGATCCCTGGGTAACGTTCAGCAGCAACGGAACCTTTTTGTCACAATCTGTCTGTGTTGTGTTTTGTCTTTTTCTGTCTTTGGTTTCATGTTTTATTTTTGAAATGTCTTCACCCCCTGTCTTGCCTGTTGCTGTCTGTCTGTTTTCCCTCCTACCTAATTACCCGATTGTGTTCACCTGGTGCCCCTGTGTTTTCTCCTCCCTCCTCACCTGTGTCTTGTTTGTGTGATTAGTCTTGTGTGTATTTAAGTTCTCGTTTTTCTGTCTGTCTTTGTTGGTTCATTGTTTGTCGTTGACTGTGTTCATGAGGTAGTGAGGTAGTGAGGTAGTTTGTTCCTTAAACCTTGAAATAAAGGTATTTTCTGTTTATTCTGCATTTGGGTCCTGCCTGCTTCACTCACCCTAACAGAATGAACCAATCAGAAATAGACCCAGCTAGTGATGGCGAGATGAAGCCTTATGAAGCTTTCCAGCCAATTGGTTCGCAAAAGGGTTCATCTCATGAGGCTTCATCATGGGCTTCATTTGAACACAAACCCCCTGTTGGTCAAAGTGTGTAAAACAGGCAGATTGGACATCTCAACAGTGTGCTCTATCTCATACCGAGTTCCCATTGAGTAAAGCCTTAGAATAACTCTAAACAACGAACATTAAATCATATTTTCATGTTAACAATATTGTTTTTATTCCAGTTGAATGATTGTGATTGAAAAGCCTAAGGAGGCTGGTAAACATTGCAAAGAGGGATTTGTATTCCTTTATAATATTCATAAACTTAACCATATTGTAGCATGAGAAAGGCTAAACCATATAAAAGAATACATTTATTAACTACATTATCTCATTTAGCTGTAGCTTTATAAACAACAAAAAAGACATATTGTTCAGTCATTGAACCAGGGACCCTGCGGTCATGAGTCAACTGCTTTCCAGCTGAGCCACAAACGATATTTATTCATGTATTTATTCATGTTTTATTCCTACATTTATTTATGCTTGTATCTATTTATACTTATCAAATCAAGTTTTATTTATATAGCACATTTATAAACGATTTTTGGACGAGCCAAAGTGCTGTACATATAATAAAAAATAGCCTACAGTAGAGACACTTTACAGCTAATACAATAGCACAGATTGTTCAGAATATCAGTATGAGAAAAAAAAGAAAAAGAAAGTCCTGCCTGCTTCATACACTTTTACACTTTAAAAAAGTCTTGTAATTGATGTTGCAATGACTGTTGTCCAAATATTCATAGCTTGAGTGCAGTAACAGTAAATAAAAGATTATTAGAAAGGTTTATTTTGTCTTGCAGGGATACATGCAGATATCAGACCTTATCTGACCTGAGAAATCAATTTTCAAAGAATCAAAGAAAACAACCTTATTCTGGGTTTCGGTATACATTGACACTTATTGACACTTTTCACACATAATACTCTCTGGGTTTGTCAGCAACACTCTACAAAAAGGTTGTCCTGTGGTTCATTGTTAATTTTAAAATATTGATTCAAGCAGCTTTAAATCAGATTGTATTTGCAGTGTGGAAGTGTCCAGAAGTGTTTTAAACAGCGTTAAGATCCTCAAATGATTATACAGTAAGACAAAACTTCAAAAAACTAAAATAGCTAGATTAATAAATGTAATTCTATACTATTCATTAATAATATATGTTCTGTCATATAGTAGAGTGGCTTTTAGAGTGTACCAAGTGAACACAGGAAGTTGTCCCCGTGTTTTTGCAAGTATACGTTTGGTTTTCAAAGAGAAGATTCTATTTTTTGAATGTATTAATAATGATACAAATAGTCTATCCAGTTATTTATGTGTTTCAGAAACACACATCCAACAGACACAGAAGATATGTCAAGTACAAGACGCTGAGTGTTATTTCAAGGTGTGCCGCACCTTTTTCGAATTGACAGGTCTGACATATTTATAGAATTATCATAAACAAATGTTGGAGCAATTCATGGCACCTTTATTTCTAAGGACAATATGTCAGATTAGTCCTTGGTTGATTAAAAGGATAATGGAGGAACTCTGCCATTTTCAGTTATAAACAATTGCGTGTCATCTTCCCACATGTATTGTTTATCCTCCTCCTTCTTGTATACTGAAGATGTCAGAAGTTTTAATTCTTTATATTGCAACAAAGTGCAGTTTTTCAGGAGAACTTTATTACGTGTTTCTTTGTTACAAACTCTTTCATAATCCTTAGGGAGGACTTGGAGATCTTTGTCCTTGTCTGCTTAGTGGGCTGAAGTCAAACCTAACACATGAAAAGAGAGGGTTATGAAACCTAACAACGACACAAGATTTAACTGTCTAACAAGGAACAAAATTAACAAGGCACAGAAGAAAAGCAAAGGGTTTCATAATACGAACACTAACGCCAACACACCTCGTTTTCCAAGTCAGTTGTCAGTTGCTCCACCTGGAAGCCGATAAAGAAGAAGAGGATCCCCACACTCTTCTTTATGTGTTTAGAAATGTCTAAATGAAACAATGACCGTAATCACTTTTAGTAACTTATCCTAGGCCAGGAATCAAGCACTGTAAAGTTTAAGGAAGCTAAAGTTAGCCCCATCTAAGAGCCAATACATTTTCAGAGTGAGAGGTGTGCTTTTCGTCATGGAAAATGTTTTATTGAACATATAGCAACACACAGCTGTGGGTAAGGATAAGATGTGTGAAATGTGCCAGGAAACACCACCCTATTGCAGTTAACATCTGATGAAGCGTTTGCTGAAGATCAATAACAACCTTTTCCCGTATTCACCTTTATTCATTTGGTAATTCTCCAGCCTTTGCTTTCCCATACTATCACACTGTTCCTCCTTTCATTAAAAAATCTCACTTGTCAGCTGTTCAATGCAGCTCTTAAAACTTCTGTCACCCAGACTGAGTATGTCATGGTTTTGGCAGTAGATATTTCGACTCAAAAGCAAGGCTCAGGGAAAGAGCAGGTAAAGAAGTCGCCAACAGGCCGTCAATCATCAAAGGCAAACAAATCCAAAAAGGGGGAGCGGGGAAAAGAACAGGCAGGCAGCCAAACAAAAACAGCAGCTGGAACACTACGGCTTCACGGGGCACACGACAACCTGGCAGGGAGTGGGTGCTACCTGGCTGGCGTTAAGGACTAACGTTGGTGTGAGTAGTGAAGAATGAATGGATGAGAAGTAGGTGAGCCGATGGGTGTGGAGGTCAGGTGATGCTGAAATATATGAACGACCACAAGTAACATACATTGTACATGGGGGGAATGTCTGAGGCTGAAGGGAGTTAAAAGGTGCAAGACAACTAACCAACTGCTCACCATCACAGCTATCATGCTGTGTTCATGTTAGAGTTATCATAATTATTAGATTCCTAAATGTATATATTTATGTCATGGTGAACTCTTTTGAAACTGGAATAGGCTGTAATGACATCAGATATCAACTACATAGATATCATGGACAAAATAATTCACAATAACAATATTATCACAACTTTTAGAGAAAAATAGCTTTGTTCATTACAGATGTTGTCTCTTTTTTGGAAATTCATTCAACTCATTTGGCTGTATGGCATTGAAAAAGGTGATGAAGCAAGTGAAACATGGTGAGTAAAAAGTAACATTACTCAGTTTTTACGTTTGTGGTCTATCACCTCCTGAGTATATTTTCTCCTCCGGACTAATCCTTACCACCCTCCACCTCCAGGTGTGCCACGCCTGCAGCTCGCCCTCTCCCCCCCGGTAAGAGCTCAGGTTAGAGTGAAGCTATATCTATATATATATATACTAGTCCCTGTTGGCCAGGATATCTGTAGATGACACATCTGTGGTGACCTCGACCTGTCTCTCAGCCAGATCACCCTCTCTTCCTGAGGAAATAACCCACAACTGGAGGCACTGGAGTGTAGAAGTGATTAGAGAAAAAAATTAGCCGAATGACCTACTGGGTGTCGAGCGAGTAACGGGCTAAACAGTTTTCTTTAAGCCATTTAATTAAAGAATAGGGGAGAACAATTGTTTCCTTTTCCAATAAAGCTAATTAAGCCAATAAAGTGGCAATGTTGAGACTTTAATATCCTGCTTTAAAACCTCCTTCGGTGGAAACAAAGAATAGGAATCTGAAATAATAATAATAATTTGAGTTATCAAGAGCCCAAGTGCTCAAAGACGCTTTCGGAGATTACAAAATAACAAAACAACATTTAACACTAGGACACAACACTAATCACATATTGAAAGCCAGTCTAAAAAGGTACGTTGTTCTCAATGTTTTGAAGCAGGTAAGGTCTACTCTACTGTAATCAGAGCCCTCTCACCTGAGCTCCGACACACACACACACACACGAGCGGGACATCCTCCTCAACCTGTCCGCAATAAAGAGGACGGTTACCTGAACCGTAGCGTCCAGCTAGCTTAGCGATAAATACACACATCGTTGTATTCTCCTCCCCCTGTCGGCCCTAAAAGCTTCAGATGGTAGATACCTGAGCTCCATAGCGTCCCGCTAATGTGAAACACACACACACACAGCGTTAGCGGGACATTCTCCTCCCCCTGTCGGCACTAAAAGCTTCAGAGGGCGGATAGCTGGGCTCCGTAGCATCCAGCTAGCTTAGCGATAAATACACACAGCGTTGTATTCTCCTCCCCCTTTCGGCCCTACAAGCTTCAGATGGTGGATACCTGAGCTGGGCTCCGTAACGTCCCACTAGCTTAGCCGCTAGCTAAAGGTAAACATAGATGGGTACATACTATAGAATATGAATAA